GCTGTGTATGATAGTAATAGTCATTCAGTTAAAGTAAAAAAGTCACACTAATTTGTCAAGGTCATTCAACATCATGTCAAGATCTCCATTATCTGTCAAGGTCACAGAAGTCTGTCTTGGTGACAACAGTCTGACCCCCAGTGCTTTCGTGTCGTATCTCCATTTTTAATAACAGTGAAACCAGTCCATAACAAATTGTGAGCTTAAGAAGATGTCACATTTTCACAGTTTAAAAAATGGAGGTATACAAGAAGAAAGCGCTGAGGTCGTGAACAGTCGGACAAGGTCGCAAAAAGTCTGCTACGTTTCCCCCCATCACATCAGCCGGCCAAACAAGGTGCCCAGGGAAATGAAGAGGACGAAGAAGATGATCTCCTCCTTGAAGCACTGCTCCGAGAGCGGCCGGTTGCTGCGCTTGAGGTGCTGGTGGAACTCGTAGGCCGGGATCACCACGTGCAGGACGTCTGGGATCATCAGCCCGATGTTGCGCGCGTTCTGAAAGTTGCGGCCCTGACCTTGGAGGAACTGCGCGATGAACTGGTCCGTGCCGGAGACGATGATGTGCACCAGGCTGATTGCCAGGATGGCCATGATCTTCCATGTCTTCGTCTATGGAGTTGGAAAGAAAAACCACCAACATTATAGCAAAACCGTTGACGTTTTAGTCTTTGGAGTTCAACAGAAACCCATCAACGTAACAACACAACCTTCTACGTCTTTGTCTTTGGAGTTGGAAAGAAAAACCATAAATATAATAACATTATCTTCCACGTCTTCGGAGTTAACGAGACACCCATCAACATAACAACAAGATCTTCTACGTCTTTGTCTTTGGAGTTGAAAGAAAAAGAACCATCCACATAACAACATGATCTTCTACGTCAGTGTCGTTTGAGTTAAGGAGACACCCATCAACATAATGGCATGATCTTATATGTCAGTGTCGTTTGAGTTAAGGAGAAACCCATCAACATAATGGCATGATCTTATACGTCAGTGTCGTTTGAGTTAAGGAGAAACCCATCAACATAATGGCATGATCTTATACGTCAGTGTCGTTTGAGTTAAGGAGAAACCCATCAACATAATGGCATG